ACAGACCAACCAACAGACAAACATACAAACATTCATTTTTATATATATAGATAATGCAAATTGTGCCTTATCGACACAAGTGTTTCTTTCACAAATAAATCAAATTTCTACTGTTCTTACTGTGATTGAAAAAATATTGGGAGGGCTTAGTTCATCAGTGGTTAATCCTCCCAGTAGTTTCGCCAATTTAATCTACCAGACCGCTTCTCTTAGAGTTCTAATACTGTATTGGATCATTCTGCCTATATATATTACACTGAAGGGTGGAATCTTAGAAATGGTATTTAAGCAAACTATGGACATACGCTTTTAGGACAGTAGAATTAGATATAAATATTTGCATCAAGCAATGCTATTCCACAGATTAAAATAATACAACAGGTTTGCTGGAGATAAAGTATCTTTTTATTTATGTAGTCTTAAGCTTTTGAGCATAATAATGAAAAAAAAATTTTTTTGGTAAATTTGTAATTATGTAGATTTGTAACATATGTATATAAATGTCTCTCGAAAAGCAAATAGTTCATTTTGCCTGTAGAAGGGCGGTTCTAGCCCGAAAGGTCGCGTGAAATATAATAAAAAGAAACTCAACAACAACAACAACAACAAAAAGCCTTTATTTAGGGTCACTGACCCTATACAGGATTCACCAGAGGTATGCATAAGAACAAAGCAGTGAGACAAAGGAAATAACTATATATACAGAGTAAAAAGAGAAAGAGAAAAAAAAACAAGAAAAGGAAAAAAATAAATAATAATAATAATAATAATAATAATAAGAAAGAGGGAAGCAAGAAATCAACACAAAAAGAGTAGCAGTAAGAAAGTGAGGAGTGAGTATCAATAAAAAGAAACTCTTTGTGAAAGGTTTTATTTTCATTCTTTTAATAATAAAAAGAAACTCCAGAAACCTGTTGTATTATTTTTAAGGATTTTGGCTTGTATTAGATGTACTAAACAGGACTTTTGGGAGAAGCTGCTGTTTATTATAAACCATCTCGAGGAGCATGAACTCATGGAATTCATGTAATCTTTCCACAAGGGGATAAGAAACAACAACATTATTTTGAGGTACCAACATGGCACTGGGTAAGAATGAGTATTTAAGTAAAAATATGGATCACAAATTAAGACGACAGGAATGTCCATATTCATTAATAGGAAAAAAAACACTAGACTCTGTGAGAAAAGTGTCTTTCAATGAAACAAGGTAATAAGACCAAATCCAAATAAATAAATAGTGTGTGATGTTTCGGTAACAGCGTTGTTACCATCTTCAGACAAAAGTACTGAATGAGAAATTTTACCACAGCATGTTTTAAATAGTTACTGTTATCAAGTGTGTGAACAAGATAACAGATAAGAAGAAGACAATTATGATAACAGTTAATAGCAGTATAGCAAGTTGATAACAGTAACTATTTAAAACATGCTGTGGTAAAATTGCTCATTCAGTACTTTTGTCTGAAGATGGTAACAACGCTGTTACCGAAACATCACACACTATTAATATATTTGGATTAGGTCTTATTTTCTTGTGTAGCTATAATTCAAATTTAAGTTTGTTTATTTGAAATTTGGTCTCGTGCCAAAAAACCTCTGAAATAATCAAACCTCCAAAAAAGATGACATCCAGGAGAGAAACCTGGAGAAGTGTTTTTTTTTTTTTTTATTTCGACAATCACACACAATGGGGGTTGTCTCAAGAGTTGATGAATATATAAAAGATGGAGGTATAAAGAGATAGAGAGAGAAAAGGAGTAATTTACCAGACAAGGGTAGAATTGAGAGGACTGTTGTAGATGAAGAGGTACTGGCTTCATGTAATCCTGGCTCTTGTTGACCTTGGCATAGGAGATTTCCAAATGGGGCTGCTGATGTCTGGGGCACAGCCTCTTCACAGTCCGTCCTGGTGGCGCCATGGGCACAAAGTCCCCGTCAGCTGGGGCAATGGGCCAAATGGGCAGGTCCGGCCCCGGTCTGTGAGGGTGGAGAAAGGGGGAGGAGGTGGAAGGGGTCGGGGAGAAAGTAGGAAGATACCCCGTCTGAACAACCCAAATTTGCATAGAGGGAGAGATCCGATATGCAACATTCTTCTGAATATACAGTAAAAATTCTCTGTAAAGGACAAAACCAGGTTGCAGAGCAAAAGTGTCCTTTACGAAGAGGTGTCCTCTTATCGGAGAGTTGTTCAATAGTAAAAATGGTAATTCTGACAATGAAAACTGTCCTTTGTAGAGAGGTGTCCTCTAGCGCGAGTGTTCTCTCATGGAGGTTGTACTGTATAAGGAAATAATCTATATACACTCATGGGAACAAAGCTTAAGGAAGTGGAAAGTCTTTAATGCCCCTGATAGTCTTTTTTTTTTTTTCTTTCAAGGAGACTGAGGCAATTTTGTTCATACCTGATTATCTCAATTCTTCAATTAGTTATTGTCTGAATCCTGATATACATGCTAAAAGGTACAAGTTTCCTTAAGTTTTGTCCATGAGGGTATACAAAATGAAACTCTATTAAGCACTTTTTTTTTCTCTTTCAAATAAAGTAAACTTCTTGCTGTGTCTACTGCAATGGAAAAAAATATTGGGAGGGGAGCCTGGCTCATCAGTGAGGAACCATCCCTGTAGTTTCTCCAATTTAATCCACCAGACCACTTTTTGGAGATCTAAAAGTGTATGGGACAATTCTGCTTATTTATCTGACAGCGTAGGTGGTATCTTAGAGGCATAAGAACAATTTCCATCTTTACCCTCTGACACTTTGAGCAATGAGGAACACTATGGGTCATCTGCAAGGTAATAAGACCAAATTCAAATATTCTTCTTCTTTCTTATCTCCACTCAATCATATTAAGGGTATCAAGCTTGTAAAGCTTGAGACTTTTGATGGTCTCTGTTGACAACCATCATGATTGGGTAAAGTAAAATGCGTCTGCCTTTGTCATTAAGACTGGGAGCACTACTCAGTAGCAGGCTGACTTAGCTCCAAAAGAAATGGCCGCCTCTGACATGAGGAACAGACGCCATGTGCAGCCTCTCCTAACATGGAGTACAAATGCTGCTCATCCTGTATCCCTGGATTAGAAGCCCTTACAGGGTACTATCAGCCGGGCCAGCTGAGGCCCAGGTTTTTTAGTGAGCTTGTTACTGCTTCCCCTCCTCCTTTTCCAAATTCAAATAAATAGTGTGTGTGATGTTTCAGTAACAACATTGTTACCATCAACAGACAAAAAGACTAAATGTGAAAAAATATATATCACAGCATGTTCTTAAAATAGTTTCTTTTATCAAGTATGTGTAAAAAAACAATATTTAAGAACATGTCTTTTAGTCTTTTGTCTGAAGATGGTAACAACACTGTTACCGAAACATCACACACTATTTATTTGGATTTAGTCTTATAATTTTGTAGTTCAAATCTATAATCCAGAAATTGTAGCTTATCACTATGGGTCATAAGTTTCCATTATGGGTAAAAAAAAGAGCTGCTGTTGTTGGTTGGCTATCTAAAGGGCACCGCATGGAGGTGACAGTCAGACTATGGTCTCCTATATTTCCAGGCTCAAAACTGGTAGCCATACTAGACTGCTCCTCTTCCAGGATGGTGTAAATACCTTCCCACAATGAACCATCTGCAGGACCAAAGAGGCCTCACCCGACCACCTCTTGGAATGTCCAGACCAACTCTTGAAATGTATGGAAGCCTCAAGACAGGACCTATATTCCAACAATCCTACCAATATTGTGAATTTGATCTATGAATTTAGTCTCCATGACCTTGTATAATTATACAATGGGATAATATAAAGTTAAAAAAAACTATGGGTCATCCCATTGGTCATCAAGGCTATCCTAGGTACCTTGATGCGTGCTCCTGCGCCAGGCACCTGATGGGGCAGAGGTTCCTTCAGGGGAGAGGAGGAGACGAAGGAGTTCTGTTGGCTCAGGTTGACGGGAACTGAGGCACACTTGAAGGAAAGCCTGCTCTGGCTAGAAGCCTGCTGCGATTGGCCTGCCACATACACTGCGTAGGACCTCAATATTCAGGGAGATTTTTGGTTGAGATTCTTCAAATGGTCTCTGGTAAACTGTCAACTTTTTACTGGAGTATAAGAAAAGAGTTGGTAAAAAAAAAATCTTAAAAAAAAAAAAAAGTCTCTAATCTTCTTTAATTCAACGCTGAACAAAGGATCAGAATTTTTATTGAATTAGGATATGGAATATGGAAAGTCTTTGATATCACCAGTGGTCTATTTATTTTTTGAAGAAGACAGAGGCAATTTTGTTTACACTTGGTTATCTTGTGTGTCTTCAATAAAGGTCACTGTAATATTACAAGAAAATAAGACCTAATCCAAATAATGTATTAGTGTGTGATGTTTCGGCAACAGCATTGTCACCATCATCAGACAAAAGAATAAATAAGAAAAAATATCACAGCAAGTTCTTAAATCACGCATTGATGGTGACAATGCTGTTGCCGATATGTCACACACTAATAAATTATTTGGATTAGGTCTTATTTTCTTGTATTTTAATCTATAATCCAAATTGTGCTTTATCGTCACTGTAATATCTTTCAGAGTTATTGTCTAAATCCTGATATACATGCTAAAAGTACAACTTCCTTAAGTTTTGTCCTTGAGTGAAGGTTCAAAAAATGATTTAACACAAGCTCTATCGAGGAAGAAGAAGTTAGAGTCTCACCTGTCCCAGAAGGAGGGGAGTGTCCATAGTTGCCACGGAAGGACATTTTTGCTGATTTAATCGAGACACCTGCGCAAAAAATCCAAGGCAGCTTCAGTACAACATTTACAAATTCGATAGAATCACCAGTTCATAGCAAGTTGAGACAAATAAGATGTAATAATAGGCATTATATAGTCAGTCTATCTCCCAAAATCCTATCCTACAGCCTCAAAGTGGCGGGAGGATGTAAACAGGTAGCACAGGATGTCGGGAGTTTAACTCCTGGTAGGGCCACCCTGTGCTACACACCCGGCTAATGTAGGGGGTCGGTGGAAGGCTGGTTAAACCGTTTGGTTTTCAACCACTAGGACCCGGGTTCGATTCCCGCATTGGACACTTTTTTCTGTTTAAAAAAAAAAAAAATGCTCCAATGGCCCCCGATTCTTGCAAAAGTCCAACCCCACCAGCGAGTGCAAGTAACCAAATGGGGCTCTGGCACATTTGTAAGTGCAAAGTCGAACTGCTTTTCACATGTGTAGACATGTGGTGTGCTTACAGTAAAAGCAGTCGCTAACTACCCACCATGATTATCATGGCCTGTACCATGTGTACTAGCTCTATAGGAGCGGCTACAAAGGGCATCTGCACTCCATGTCAGGAGACCAAAATAAGCAAAGTCACACTGAGTGGTACTTCCAGGTCTTCAGACCAACAGCAGGTGTACCCCTCTTTCCTTCCTTCTCGATGAGTCTATCTATCTCCCAAATGAAGCACCTCTCCCTTCAAAAATACATTTTTTTTTTTTAATTCTTTGTGCCTATTATTAGGTACAATTTGGATTATAGAATAGAAACACAAGGGATATTAAGACCATATAAGAGGATCATACCAAACAGTAGTACTACCTCTCTGTAAAAGACAACACCTAGTTGCAGAGTCAAAGTATCCTTATGGAAGGGGAAAGAAATATATCATAGTCCCAAATATATTGGTAGTCCCAATTAACTATATATACCCTCATGGACAAAATTTGAGTTGTACCTTTTAGCATGTATATCGAGATTCAGATAATAAGCCTGAAAGATATTTGATACACAGTGACCTTTAATAAAGACACGCGAGATAACCAAATGAATCTCTGTCTCCTTTAAAAAAAATTGACAACCAGGGACTTCAAAGGCTTTCTACTTCCTCAAGTTTTGTCCATGAGTGTGTATATAGTAGAACCTCTATATAAAGGACAGCAGTTATTGAGCCAAAGTATCTGTTAGAGGTATCCTCTTTCAGAAGAGTTGCCTCCGCCTTTGCCGGTCCCAAGCCCGGATGAAAAAGGAGGAGGGGGAACAGTAACAAGCTCACTAAAAAACCTGGGCTCAGCTGGCCCGGCTGATAGTACCCTGTAAGGGCTCCTAATCCAGGGATACAGGATGAGCAGCGTTTGTACTCCATGTTAGGAGCGGCTGCACATGGTGTCTGTTCCTCATGTCAGAGGCGGCCATTTCTTTTGGAGCTAAGTCGGCCTGCCACTGAGTAGTGCTCCCAGTCTTAATGACAAAGGCAGACACATTCTACTTCACCCAATCATGATGGTTGTCAACTTTACAAGCTTGATACCGTAATATGATTGAGTGGAGATAAGAAAGAAGAGGAGAGTTGCTAATTGGTAAAAATAGCAATTTTGGTGTCGAAAACTATCCTTTACAGAGAGGTGTCCCCTAGAAGGAGTTTTCTCATGGAGGTTCTACTGTATAAATGATAATTGATTCATTATATCTTAAGATTTTGAATATACAGTTAAACCTTTCTATAGCACCCCCTCTTGGGACTCACCAAAATAGGGTGCTATAGAGAGGGGGGTGCTATAGACAAGTCACTTTTAATGTTTAAAATCGGGCGCTATAGAGAGGAAGGTGCTATTTAGAGGGGGCGCTATAGACAGGTTTAACTGTATATTTAAAAAATAATTATAATTAGGTTTATCAGTAATTGAACTATTTGTTTCACAGTGAGCTCAAATTTATTTGTAAATAGGGGTTAAATATAAAACATATTGTAGCTGATGTCAAAGAAACATAATATACTCTATTCAAAAGAATTGCAGACATTTATGATATTATCATCATCAATTTAGCGCCATCTATCAATGAATATTGGTCAAATCTTTAGTTACATCTCTTTAATATATATATACATATAATTAAAAACTCTTTCTACAGACCTTATACTGCAACGAATAAAAAGGTAGAGAAATCTAGATATTAAAATGGCGAAAAAGCTAGGCGGTTTCATTACTGATGGGCAATAACTTTCCTTTTTTAAATTTTATTGTTCGCAACATAGTCTGTAGAAATAGTTTTTATTTATAAGTATTCAAAAATGCTGCTTTTGAAAGTCGTAACAATCTTCTAACTGATTATATTAATAGTCCAATTAAATGAACAAAAATTTTAAAACAAATTGGGTAAATATTGTAAAATTTGTATTATACATTTATATATAATAAATTTAAAGGATAACAAGAAACAAAACCAGCAAAACTATAGGTAAGGATTACGCAAAACATTGTTTACCTATTTGGTTTTGTTTTCCCTTGAATTATAACGCTATAATTCGTACAGTTCTTTTAAGCGATAGTGCTTAAACTGGTGCAATGCCATTTATTAAAAAATCATTTTTTATTATTCACTTAAATTTTCTATAAAGGTAGAAGTGATCTTTTGGAGCGCAGAGATATTTAATTATAATTTATAACGCTTCCTCTTTAGGTGTCTATGACGTTTGGTCTATATTTGGCGGTTATTTTTAAAAGTTTATTTGTTTAGGGTCAGTGCAGTTTCACTTTATTTTCCCACATTAAAAATATCAGGTTTTCAATTTTTATATAAACACACACTCATAGACAAAACTTAAGGAAATTGAAGGTCTTTGATTTCGCAATCGTCTATTTTTTTTTTTTTTTTTTTTTTTTCAGAGACAGAGGCAATTTTGTTAACACCTGGTTATATCGTGTGTCTTCAATAATGTCACTGCGTATCGAATATTTTTCATAGTTATTGTCTGAATTCCGAGGCACATATATATTTAGTGAAAATTTTCAGATATATTTCGTACGCTGCAGGGACCTGGTTTACTTTTTTTTATATACTTTCTTCTTCTTCTAAGAGTAACCTGGATCTCTGGAGCTTACAAACATCACCAACTGTGTATCCCATTTAATATTGAAAATAATAAAACATGGCATATTATATTTATGATCCAGGAGCGCAGAACGCCAACTACCCGATAAAACTTAGTAACAATCGTTTTTGTAATATAGGTGAAACTATATTTATTGAATAAAATATATTCGGCAACAATGTAAATAACGCTGAATAAACTATCACATTAAGCCTTAACCCATAACAACTATATAAATGCAACAAAATGAGTACTTAACTAAACAAATTATTATGATATTATTAAATATTTAAACAAATAATACTACATTTAACTTTTTTTTTGTTGTTTGTTTTACTTGGGAATTAAGAACTATTCAACATAGCTTTATGTTACTCCTGGGAATCGGGGTTACATTAAGAATGAGATAGCTTGATGTAACAATAATTTTAAAACGTTTTTAAGAAATTAATAAAGTTATAATAAAGGGTGAATATAAAATAATTATTATATCTTCAGCACATTCTTAAAACTATGGGAATAAAGTGAGTTATTTTTAAATAAATAAAAATCATAGTAATGTTTTACTGTCTATTTATATATTTCACTTCGATTTCATCATAGAATACAATCAATCAAAATAATTCAGATTCGAAGCAAAAGCTAATCTCAGTTTTTCTGACATGAATATGAGGACGATTTAGAGCAATAATAAGCAAAAGAATTGTGTCTGTGGGGGAAGTATTTTGAAAATAAAAGCAACTTACCTTCCCCCACTGGCAATTTACAACTGGAACTTGCGTGAACGCGTGCACGCGCGTGAATGATAACATCAAAAATGTAATTTTCTTTCTCACATTTCCCTTTAGTTTTTTTTTTTTTTTTTAATTCAATAAGCGATATTGTCTTTTAGGTAATTTAACATCTTTTATATATACTGAAAGAAAAGATTGAGTTTGAAACTTTTTATTATACATAGTTTATATAAGGATAAATTAGGAGATATATAGTAAAATTAAATATAAAATAATTTAGAATTATATAGATGGAAATTTTGCCCGGAGGATATTGATCTATTTTTTTTTTTAATAAAAAAGGTCGCCTCTCTGTCAAAATAGATATCAAACAAGACGCCATCTATTGACCGTCGCCGGAAACTAGCGGTCTCGGGTCGGTGACAAAGCCACTACAGATGGCGCCTTGTCAATGTCTTCATTGGTGTTTTCCGCCAGCAATAGACCACCATAGTCCTTTCCCACAGAGTGGGCACGTCGATGTGATGGCTGGCATTGACCAACTCAAGACCAAGATGGTACTTGTAGATGGAAGCCTTCACCACACTTTTAAGCTTCATTGTCTCGGGTCTGGTCGCAGGAGTCGAATATCTCCCAATATCTGTGGGTCAGCGACCTGCCGCTGGACCCAAAGACGACAAGCCTCGAAGCAGGATGAGGTAGGATGTGAAGGGCCAGCCGTAGGACGATGGCGCGTCGTGCCCCAAAAACAATTGCAACGCAGGTTGACCTTGGAGATGGAGCGAGGCACATCAACGTTAGAGGTCCACCGCGCAGCCTGCTCTCCAACAGGATTCGCCTGTAGCCTTGACGAGTCCAGTGCCCGGCGCGCGCTCCGGCTGGAGAGGCAGGATTTGGTCTCCGCCTCGTGCTCCACATAATAGTTGGAGCTCGCGTGTTCCTGCAGGAGAAGCTGGCAGAAGGCTGAGCGTATCGCCTTGGACAACGTGCTGTTCTTTGTAAACGACGCTGACCTGGTTGCGGCACTCAAGCCCTATTGTCGAGTCACTTCCATTGTCCAGCAAATGATGGAGCTGGCCAATGACGCGAGATCACATTCCTGCTGGGCTGACGCTCATCGGGAAGCCTTTATTACTGCCCCAGATTCCTGCGAGTCCGAGAGCGCAGCACGCGTTGATCGCGCTAGGGCAGGGGCGCCTTCGGAGAAGTCTCCGACAGTCGTCTGGGACGACTGTAGCAGTGGATGGAGGAATGTCAACTGCTGGTGTTGCCGCAGCTTCTGTGGAGGCTTGAGAGGAAGAAGCTTGATCCAGCATTTGGGCGAGCAACAAACGGACGCTCAGGTAAAAGCAGTTTATCTTCTGTGATTCAAGCCTTTTTAGGGCAGTTGGGCCGCTTGTGTTCTTGCTTATGGCAAAGTGAACAGCAGATGCCGTAGCTCACGTAGACTGCACGTAGAATGGCGTGATGACTTCCTTGGCCTTG